GCTCAAAAAGCAGTGCGTAACTGATTTTTGTCTATGACATTATCTGCTGCTTCTTGCCAATCTGGTCTGATCTGGTAAGTATTCGACAACGTCTGACATGCATTATTACGTAATACCAATGACGAGTCCCGGGACATCATAATACAATACCACGAGTTACGTAGAAAAAAGTAATTTAATGTTGAAGTTGAATAACATACTCAATAGTATTTGAGTCATTCTGAGCATAAAAGTACAAACATCTGTTTCTAAAATTGTAAATAAATAAGTAACCTTTAACTGATAAAATACTTAAAATAAGCTACAGTAAATTAAAATTAAAATGTCCATCACCATTAGTATGATATCAAACATTTGTCTATTTTGTGTTATATTTTCTAAATTTTTAAAATAGCTCCGGAACTATAAATGAGAGTTTTAAACATCTTAATCTTCAGTTGGTCCATCACCCACTACTATGGGTTATAATGTTCCTTTTTCCCGTGATGATAGATGGTCCTGATATTATAGATAGGTTTACCGTCTACTGCTGAAGATTAACTGAGACAAAACAGAACGGACAGTGTAAAACTGGCTGTCATTCAAAGACATTATCCTCAGTTTTCTATTAGGCATTTCGACTTAAACATTACTATACGTTACTGTTTATTCAGTTTCACTTTTTCGGTTTCAATAAAAACAAAATTTAAAACGTCAAAAATTGAGGAAATAACCGACGAATGGCGATTTGTAGAATATACGTTCATACGCATGCGCATAAATTCAGCTATATTGAGTGACTGAACACAAAAACTACCCGTCACTACTTTTTGAGACTCGATCTGGGGAAGGTCGCTCTGTATGCACCACATATTTAGGTATTTATTTCGGCAAGACAAATTACACTGTTTATAAAATGTGTGTCAAGTTTACAGATTTAGATTTATGCATTGTAAGGGTAATCCTGTCTATCGTTCTCCCACGACTTGGTGTCCTATTTGAAAACAAAAGGAAAACCACACCGTGAATACAATCAACAATTCATATTTGGAGCTGGAAGTAAAAATATTAAACTCGTCTAACAGTACTCATGTAAACAGTTTTTAATTACAAGAACAGACAAAATACATCAATCTAAAAAGGCAATACCAGTTTTGCTCGTGAACTTCTAGTCTATATTTCAGTCATCAGAGGGGAAAACATACCAACAACTTCGTTTATTCTTATCTTCAATACAAACGTAAAGTTTCTAAAAATAACCGATTTTTGTTTGCCGTGTAATATAGGGCCAGCATATACGCCGACTCGTACAAAACGCGACACACGATGAACAAATATAATATGTGGGACAAGTTATTATAAACATCAATGGCAATTATACAATCCCTCCCCACCCGCGACATATCAGTACCAATTGAAGGATAAACTTCAAAGGAATGATTACGTCCGTATCCATTAGATTCATTAATTTGAAAAGGATGCATTACCTGCTTCGTAATGGAATGTGACACTCGCTATAGTCGCTTCCATGAGGATTTTTTATCAGAACCCAAAATATTCCATTATCCGTTGGTTGGTAATTGTTGATCGTTAGTCGTGCCTTTCGAAGAGGGCTTTCCAATACAATCCGTCGGATAAGGTCGTTAAAATACCTACTGTCACCATTCCAAAACCAATCTATTTCAAATTCCGGACTTCCATCATACTCTACTTCGAGTACGACCGTCTGCCCTTGCATCGGAGAATATTCATCTGGTAATTTTCTTCTAATATTTGGCTTTCCTGTAAACAAATGAAATAAGAATGTTACAGAACATGCACATAGAGTCAGTGTGGATCATTTCAATACGTATTTAGCAACGAATTGTCCGACGAATCAACTTACTCAAAGGTATCTCAAATAACCGCGATCCGCTCATTTTTTAGTTTTTAATTATCACTTGTAGTCGACAAATTTTTAAGTAAATGTGACAGTGGACTTACCTGGTGCGACGTGTTTTATATCTCCAATACCCTCCTCATCCCTACGCACTGTGATTTCACTTCCCAATACTCCTTTCCCACAAATGTCCCAGCAGAGTCCATTATGCTGCAGGTAAAAGATCCCTGGCGCCTGTAAATAAGAAGTAATGACATTTAGAGTTAAATGAAATTTTTTTTTTTTTCAGATTTTCGTTTATTTAACTCTATAAAGCCATCGCGGTGACAGATTCTTTTTTGATAAACTGCATAACAAATTGAAAATGTAAAAGTAGTGTTGATAATTTAAAATTGCGCACACGGAGTGAAATTCCGACTGTAAACCCATATGGTCCGCCTGGGTGAACTACCTACCTATATTAAAAATAGTCTAATCCGTCTATTGTTCTTATCAAGAAATAGTTCCTGTTGAGATTTTGGCCACTTTCGTATATTTCACTATTTTCACATCTTAATATATATATATAAATTAAAAAATGGATTAGCTCGTCACACCCAACTTTCTTTTTAAAAGAAAAGAATCACATACTGGGCCTCACACTATGTGCGCACGTACACAACGCGGTAATAGTAGTAATACGGACATGTTTCATACCAATGGCCGGAGTTAATAATCATCCACAAGGTTGTATCCAACATGTGTAACTGCAGATCCTTCGTAAAATCACATGACACATGGCAAGTTAACTCACTGTACACACTCCCTCTGTACACCAAAATAAGCAGGATAAAACGCCCACCTACTATTCAGAATGACTGACAAGGAACCAGCCAATCACACAAAAGCAGACCGATCAACAACCCAACAGCTTCGTCATAAAAATTGCACAATCATATTCCATGTACTAGTTATTTTAATCAATTAGTAATTCGGTTCTTTCCAGAACACTCATATGTGGCATGAATAGATTGGGAAATTCCGTAGATACGAAATACTGAGAACAGTCGGTAGGGTACTAGCATTGCAAGTATATCATATTCTGATTGTATTCATTCGACAGCATACCTTCGCTGAGATCTATCGTGAACGTTGTTCAAGATGGCCGATTACCAACTCAACTCAAAGGACAACAGTCGACGCACTGCTATTAATAGACTTCAAGAAAGTGCAGCAGAATTCAGGAGTGGTTCACGCCGTCATGAAGTAAGATGTCGGAAACTTATCAACAATCACGAAGTCGAAGCTGATATTAGAAGAGGTTAGTGTAAAGCAATATCCCTCAAAATGTAATTTCATGTAATTTAAAATATATAAACTCAGTGGACATTTAGGCAGGCTGCAATCCCTTATCCCGAAAACTGCTGAAACGTATTATACCTTATATATACTATCGTTTGAATACTGCGTTTATTTAATAGTACATTCCCCTGGTTGTGTTTACAGAGCAAAAAGTGTGACCCTCTCATAATTAATCTCATCGAAATTTACGCAATCAAAGACGCATATTTACCCTCTATATTTCTTTCCACAGCACTGTTGAATGTATATACGATACCAAGAAACAATACAGTACGTGTACATCCACTGCCAACTTATTGACGCTGTTCCAATTACATATGAACACTGATGATATATATTGGACCACTTCTCTCAAATCCATTGACTACTAATCTAATAACTATCCAGTGCTGGTAATGAACTTTTTGTGACAGACAGTTTTTGTAATGTCAATGTGAACAACTTTTAGTGTGGAGATTCCAATGCAGCTTCCCTTGTCGAAGCGACTAGCGGCGTGTTACTGACTGTACATATTTCAATCGTGCCCACAAGTAAAATGTGTTGTTCTATGTACGTTGTTGCTGGACCAACCTTAATTATTAAAACTATGTGCACAAGAAATACAAGACAAGTCTTATTGCGTTATCTAGTTGTGTATGTGTGGAGCCCGGTCATATTAGTCATGATATTAGTATCTCCGAGGATACTAATAAGTTTTAAGTAACACAGCAAATATTGCTACTATTTCTCATTTTTCTGTTCAATAGTTGCACCAATGAAGGATAATTACTACTAGACTGGACAGTTTTCAAATGAGTGTTACGAATAAAAGCACGAGTTTAAAGTATTCAATAAATGTGAAAGTTTACACAGACACAGATCCATTCATTTCAGTGTTCTTATGTCTAACGACAATGAAAGAACATTTTAATGATCAACAAACATATTCCAATCACTGATAATTCCATTGAATCCTCAATCGCGTCCCATTGACTGTGTGTTTGGACTCAATAATAGGTTCTTGAAATGGTGAAGTTACGTTTGTGAAACACCGCTTCTCCCCCAACACTATTTCGAGGTTCGTGATATTATCTGATGTGTGAGATTCCCGACAGCTCAAATAAAGATCTACTTCTTTAAAAAAAAGTAACTGAAGGAATACACCGATTATGCAAAGGGGGATTTTGCAGTAGCCTGCTATGGCATGAGATGACTCACGGTGGATGATAACAATATGCCATCCAAGGATATATGTATTTGAAGCAAAGAACGGAGAACATTGTGTTATTTAAATGCCACCACCTGTTGTGTCTGAATGGGGATGTTTACGTGTCACCCCTTTTTTTACAAAAGGACAATAAACCAAACTACCGGATTTTGGAGAGTAATTTTCGAGACTTGGCTTTTAATGAAAGTTCCCTCAAATCGTAGATATAAGAACTAAAATTACTAGCATATTCTATTATTTAAATCAATGGCATTATTCTGACAACATAATCCGTGCTATCCATGGTTCTATTTCTTCGCTTTAAAGTCGCCTATCCCAAATATCAGAAGCTGCAATTATTGGAGATTGTTAAGCGCAGACTCAGGAGGCGCCCTAATCATTTATACCAAATTTCATCAGAGCAATCAGGGGGGGGGGGATTGGCACGAGAGGGCGCCATCCGATATGAATGAAACGTTTCGACGTCAGTCGTCCGTAGCCCACCGTCAAAGCAACAACGTTCCGTTTACGAACAGATGAAATAATTTCAGCAATTTCTTTACAGAATAATCCTCAACAAAACTTAGAAACATTTTATAGACAAATACAGGCTCCAAAATTATGTCTATCGCAAAACAATTCAACCGACAACCAGTTTGACGCCACAATTTCTTGCTGGAGCCCGAGTTCTAGCGTGATTTTATTGCATTCAAAACTGTTCCATTTCAAACTGCGCAAGCACACACACTGTAGTTTCTCGAAATGCATACTAATTAGGTAACTTGTCACTGATAAAAGTCACCGAAAACATTTTGAGCAATTTTGAGCAATAGTACTAAAGTGAAATATAAACGTGCCTCTGCATCCTCCATTAATTTCGTAACTTGCTATGATCATGGTAAAGAGAAAACTTGTGCTTACTTTCAACAGTTAGCTGGAGTCCGATCGAAAACGTGTCTCAAAAAATACCTTTACATCTTTTTTCCGATTATTTTGTTCAGCTCGTAACGATAGAATCAGTCAATTTAGAACTAACATGTATGCTATCGGAAAGCATTTTGGCACAATTTTACTGAAAAGACGAGTTTTTCATTTCTCATGAATATTAATTTATGCAAATAAGACGATTATTTCAACCAATC